GGAGAAATATATTCTGAATTATAAATATTTATATGTGAATGCATAACAGAAAAAACTAAGAGTTCTTCCTTGATACATGTTCTCTTACTCAACAATGTATTACCTACAAACAATATAACAAGAGAACAGTCAAATACAATGATTTATTGACAAATGTATAAAAATAAAAAAAATCTATATACCAATAGCTCAAAGAAAACGATTATTAAGTAAATAAAGATGAGCGTACCATATGATGAGAATTTGGTATGGATAGTAGTGGTTGGATTCTTAGTGGCCTTTGTTTTGGCATTTGGAATCGGAGCAAATGATGTTGCAAATAGTTTTGGAACAAGTGTTGGTGCAGGAGTACTCACAATATTTCAAGCTTGCATTTTGGCAACTATCTTTGAAATTGCTGGGGCTGTACTCATTGGCTATAAGGTATTTAAAATTTTATAGATTATATACACTTTATCTCATGTTATACTATTTTAAATATATTAATTGTTATTTATTGCAGGTTTCTGATACTATGAGAAAAGGTATACTAGATGTTACATTATATGAAGGCCATGAAAAGGAATTAATGATAGGAGCTTTATCTAGTTTAGCTGGGTCTGGTATCTGGCTGTTACTAGCAACAGCATTGCGGCTACCTATTTCTGGAACACATTCCATTGTTGGTGCTACAGTTGGTTTTTCACTTGTCTGTAAAGGTACTGCAGGGGTTAGTAAAATGATTACTTTATTAATATACAAATCACAAATCACATACATTTCACAATATAATAAGTATATTTATAGGTAAAATGGATAGCTCTTGCAAATATAGCAGCATCTTGGTTTGCAAGCCCTGTACTTAGTGGAATTGTATCAGGTGCTATATTTTGGCTTCTAAGAAAATCAATACTTCAATCTAGTAAACCCCTGGAACAAGGTCTTCATATTCTCCCATTAGCATATGGTCTTACTGTTGCTGTTAATATTATGTCAGTTGCACATGATGGACCTAAACGTAAATGAATTTTATATTTATATCTGTATAAATTTTGTTTCCTTATTCAAGGTGTAAGGTTATCTTGTGTTTGTTTTAGTTTTAATGTTGGATCAAGTGCCATGGTGGGGTAGTTTACTTGCTGCATTAGGTTCTGGTTTATTTTCAGCTGTTATTGTATATTTATTTGTTGTACCATGGCAGAGAAAAAGAATATTACTTACACTGAGTAGCAACGAAAAAACAACAACAACAAAGTTTGGTACCTGTGATAAGAAAGAAACTACAGCATTATCTGTTATTTCTGAAGCCCCATGTAGTAGTAGTAGTAGTAGTAATGGTAATGCAAAAGAAGCAGCGCCAAAATTACGTGGTAATAGCAGTGCAAGTCCTCTTTTAACAGTAGCAGCATCAGATACCGAGGGCGCTCAAACTGAAAGTGAAAAGAAAAACGAAGAACCACCAGAAATATCTAGACTTTTTGCTTTTTTGCAAGTATTAACTGCAGCATTTGGTAGTTTTGCTCACGGTGGTAATGATGTTAGCAACGCGATTGGACCACTTATTACACTTTGGGCTGTATATGCTGATGGATCAGCTAGACAAGAAGCAGAAACTCCACTGCTAATATTACTTTATGGTGGTTTAGGAATATCAACTGGTCTTTGGGTGTGGGGACGTAAAGTGATACAGACTCTAGGACAAGATTTAGCACGTATTACACCAACTACTGGGTTTACTATAGAGGTATGCACATTTTACAAATGTGAAATAAAATGAAATGTTTTTTATGATACTTATAACTTAAGAATATATATTGAAAATGTATTACATATTATAGGTAGGAGCAGCAGTAACAGTTTTGTTGGCAAGTAAGGCTGGTTTACCTGTGTCAACAACTCATTGCAAAGTAGGATCTGTTGTCTGTGTGGGATGGGCTTCACGTGGTGGTGAGGGAGTTTCATGGAAATTATTTCGCAATATTGCATTTGCATGGTTAATTACTGTACCAGTGGCTGGCTGCCTATCTGCAGGATGTATGGCTATTTTCAAGGAAATAATTAGTTTGTGATTTCACTGTCAGGGCAACTAACACATTTTAGAGAAAACCATCCAATGCTACTGTTATCAATAATTTATGCAAAAATAAACTATCAAATATAATTTGACCTAGTTATTATTTATTTATAGATATATGTAGGTACTAAATACGTAAATAAGTAAAAATAAGAAAATAAGTAAAATAATATTCACAGTATTGTTATTGAAAATATATTTTACTAGTTTTTATAAGTTAATATGGAAAATTTACCGCTTTTACCAGGTTATAGTTTTCAGGATTCGAATGTAAGTTAGAAAAGCAATACAAATTAATTAGTTCCATCTTTATATTTAAACCAATAAATTTAAGTTCAAATATTTCTTTTTAAGATTCAAGACTATAGATTATTACAAAAATTTAATTTTTTAAACGGTTATCGCATAGTACGTGATAGCAATATTGGTATTGGAGGAAGACCAATAGATGCTGCATCTACTGCTTACATAAAAGAGGAAGATGCTGTATAGTAAGTAATAAATTATTAAACATAAATGCAAACTCATAAATTTTATTTTTATAAGATCCAAATGTGTCACTTAAACTTTTATTTAATTTAAAAATTTTAAATCTTTCTAATAAGAAACAATTAATATTTAGCTATGATCCTTCATTAACGTATGGTCGCGTAAAACAATATGCATATCGGCAATTTATTCCACATTATGCGCTATTTGCGCAGAAATGTCTGTTTTTTAAAGCGTTTTTTCGCCAAGGAGTGTTTAACTCTCCAGATGAACATTTTCGTATACGTCACGTAAATGTATTATATTTTTTGGAAGATAATACTTTATGTATAATTGAGCCTGTTATTAATAATGCTGGCTTTAAACAAGGAAAGCTTGTTAGACGTAATAAAATTGTAAAAAATGTAAATGGTGATACATTTCATTGGAAGGATTTCAATGTTGGAGTTGACATATGTAAGTTTAATAAATATCTTTATCGTGATAGTATATATTTAGTATAAACGATTGTTATTGGAATAAAAGTTAAATATTCCAAGTTTCATGTCCCTTTTTTATATTATGTAAAAGTACATCTATATCTGTTTTCCTGTATGAAAATAATGATCTATAACAAAAATTTGACATATTCATTGTTTTCTGTAATTTGTTTTTGTAATTTTTGTTATCCAACTTCATTATTTGCAGGTATTTACGGTATAGTTTATCATATTATCGATTGTGATGTATTTACTAAAGAGTTTTTAAATAGCCAAGGTATAGATGTTGGAGATAAGGAAGAACCTCCTGTAGATCCTTATACAGAATTGTGTATGAAAAAACAAAAGGTACCGACATGCATTACACAAATTCCAGACGATGCTAGACGGCGGTTTTTAGAATATGATAAAATGGTATTATCTTTTACCGCAATTTGGAATGACGATGTTTATCGGATTATGTATTTCTTAACGGACGATACAATAGCCGTTTGCGAAATACGAAAACCTAACAGTGGTAAAGATCCAGTACCAATGCTATTAAAAAGACAGAAAGTACCAAAAGATTGGAAAAATTTGTCACCATCTTATCCTGGTGCATATATGGAATGTGGTGATTCAGATATCATTGAATATTATACACCAAAAGATTTTTTAGTGAGTCTACATATAATTTGCAAAAAACTCGAAACTACTTTTTTTGTTTTAATATCTTCCATTTTGAAATTGTAGGTAGGTGGTACAGTTTTTATCTTGAGTCGACGTTTTTTTCTGCATGACTGTGACTCTTTCACACGAAAATATTATTCAGATATGTTAGGAATAACACAACCAAAAGAAATTCCGCTTTCAATTAAAGAAATTAAGTTATCATCAAAGTATAAACCTCCGCCCCATATCATTTTTGGTACACCCGAAGATACTTATACCAGTTGTCTATCGTTCCTGCCTAAGCCGCCTAAAAAGGATGTTGTTCGACAACTTCTTAATTTTCCAAATAAGCTACGTTATTCTATGAAGATGGACGTGGTACACCCGGAGGATAAGAATCGTGATTTCATTTTAGAATATAGTTTAAGTGAAGGGACAATACTTGTGCACGAACTTGAGAAACGCAATTCAGGGCGTTATGAGGGCTGCTTCTTGAAGGCAACATTGGTCCCAAAATCAAAAACCGGAAGAGACAATCCGCAATATTATACTCCTCAAGATTTTTTTATTGGAGCAAAAATTAATATTTTCAATCATTATTTTATTATAAACGGAGCTGATCTTTTTGTTTATCGCTATACTGAAGCGAATCCTGAAAAATTTCCGCAAGAAATACGGGATAACATTCGCGATTATTTTGTGAAACAGAATTTACTTCGCGAAGATATAGAGATTGAAACAAAAAAATTACAAGATCAGAGGGATACAAAATTACATTCGATCAAACCTGCTGAAGCAACTATTGAAGGTGATATAATGACACGATGTATAAACGATCTTGAGGCTCAAGTTAAATGTAAGTACGAAGGAGAACAAGGTGAATTAAGATCGCGTCAGGTACCATCAGAAGAATTATGTCCAAATTTGAGAACAACAGATCCTATGCAATTGTTCCATCAATGTCAAGATTCAAAGATATTCACAGAAAAAGATACAAAAAAGGAAGTAAGATGGGATGATAGGGTAAAACAATAATAAGAACTATTACTTTTGATTGATAATTACGTTCAACACAATATGCTCAGCGAATTTCCAAATAGACATTAATATGTATCACAATTTAAAGCATGTTTTTTTTTTAATTCAAACCATTTTTTTAAATAAAATAATAAAATACTTCATCGTGAATGTTATGTTAAACGCAATTACCATTCCGTATCTTCTATCGTCATTTTAATTACGAGACGTGTAATCAAAACTGAATCGAATAATTCATAGGCTCTAGAAAATTCATTACCAGCATACATGGTATTTTGTAATAGTTAAACTTGAATATTAAATTCATGGTTCGATTCAACATTTAATCAAACATGATTATACAATGTAAATACTAAACAGTGTAGTACATTGAGTATACTATTCGTATGTCTGCATATTATAATACAATAATAATATACAGATATGCAGTTTGTATACGTATAGCATATATTGCATTAATCATAAAATAAAGTTTAGATAAATCTTTGGGATCCAAACATTTTTAAACAAAACTTTAAAGTACGATTGAAAGGATTAATCATTTTTTTTAATAATAATAATTTGTCATAAAATAGTAATTAGTAAATTGTTTAACAAAACTTTTAAATATCGTTCAACTAAAATACAGAAATTTAATAGAGTTTATATGTCCAGTTGTTTTTAGTTATTCAGACATGGCTACTTGTCAATTTCTTGAACAATTTATTTTATCTTAAACTATAAATAAGATGAAGTGATTCAAAAACATTAGCCATAAATTTTTAACGTTGATATATTACTTTAATAAGATACGTTTGTTTTTGCAACATTCACAATGTAGAAACGAGAAAAGAGACGTCTACGGCAAATCATTTAGATTCTCTTTCTTGTTGTCTATTAATTGTGTTCGCAAAAGTAATTATCATAATAAGCATGCTCTGATTAAAAAATTTGCATCACATTGCGTTTAATTCATTGCTTAATTTTATACAATTTTTTAATGAACTCAGAATTTCACGTTACTATTTCATAATTACTATGTATGAAATCTGATCAATTGCTAAAATACTGTTAATTTGCAATGAAATATAATTTCATTTTTATAAAACTTAAGAAACACAATTTCATTGCTTTACTACTTGCTTTATAATTTTCTAGAAATTAATTTCTACATTTAACTATTTGTAAATGTGTATATATAACTACCAGAAAAGTAATCAAATCTAAGATAAAATCTATTATTTTGTATGTTTTAGTTCACTAAATCCACATTAGTTAAGCAGTTTTTGTTACATCAATGCTCGAATTTTCTGCATATAATTCGTGAAAAATTTTTAAATTTAGTGATATTACTCATAAAGTATCTTTTTTTTAACGGGCATGAAAAAGTATATATATTTTTTTAAATATATGAAAACACTAAGTTTGTGTTTCGGTAAAAATAACTTGAA